GTGTGGAATAATAAAGAGGAATGAGACCGGAACAACAGTACATTAGGGAGTAATTACCTCAAATCATCTAAACAAAAGATTTGAATTTTTTTATTCGTGAAGGTTGCATCGACGAAGATATGGGTGATCAAACTTGATGTACTTGGTCCAATACGGTCGATACTTGGACATAGCCAACTCCAACCATGGTTTCATGTTCCCATTATAGTGAACCACTGCTGCATTCTCAATGTCTTTCTTGTCGATACTCGGGTTATATCCGAGTCCAAGAACGTGCCACGCCTTGTTTAACGGATGTGTTAATCCGTAGAATGTTATCAATCCTGGTGGTAATGTACCTAGCTTCCATAGTGTCCTGTTCTCATTCTAAACACCAATAACCATAATGAGCAAAACCATTGATTAATAATAAACATCACTGATGAAAAGAATTGAGAGTTATTTTACCATGTTTTGCCACTTGTGGTATATACCGGTGATGTCTCTCTTCTTCCATTCCTTTAGGTCGAACATGTTCATTCCATAAGCCCATCCACAAGCGTTTGGATTGAAGTTTCTCGCAATGTGAGGGTTCGAGAAGTTGAGATACTTGTCGAATCTGTGGAAACTCTCCCCGCAGGTTTCGACTGCGCCGTTGACTTTTCCGTTCAGGTTGACTTCCCAGAGTGGGGTCAAGTCTTTCTGAACAATGATGTCGTCGTCCAAGAACAGAATTTTGTTCAGCTTGGGATAAACCTCAGGGAGGTAGAATCTCAAGTGATTCAACATGGATAGATACTTTGGGTTTCTGTATTTCAGATTCGAAGAGCCTGAAGTTGGATGATCTGCTTTGAAATAGTATTCTCTCATTGCTGCAGATTCAAGCTGGCGAAGAACAGGGCAGTAAGATGAATTGAGCCACTTAAACTCATCGACGTTTTCCACATGTATTGTTGCCTTTCCAGGTGGGTTTAAGAGGAACCACATGTTCATTGCTCCGAAATTGAGTTTATCCGTCACAAGGTGAAAAACATGCTTCGAAGGATCCTGCACAAACAGGGGGAAAAAATCATTTTCAATTTCAACTCTCCAATTCATGTATGAAATTAGTAATTAAACATAGACAGATGCAGAAATTAAGTGATAAGAGATCATTGTTTTACCTTGGCGTTCATGATGGTTGAGTTAACAACCACTGATGCAGCTAATACATTGTCAGAAAAGAGGGCATAATGATAAAGATTTGGGTTTTCTAGGTTTTCACTCCGAGGGAATTTTCTTTTCTCCGGAGAAAGAAGATAGTAGTCGATGGTCAAGCGCATCGATAGGCAATGGATAGGATTTGGAATTGTTTTTGCTGCTAACTGAGCCAGAAAGGTACTCTGCTTCTTTAAGCTCCTGACTTGTTCATCAGCGGTTTGAAGCATTGCTCTCAGCTTTCCAGTAACCAACTTGCAGTCATATAACTGCACCTTAGCTTTACCCAGGACTTGACCCATGGCTCTGAGTTTATCATGCGCACTAGATGAAACAGAATTAAATAGAGATAGTTACTTTGTGAAGTACGTGAATAATAAAAAGAAGGCTAGAAAACGTCACTGGGAGAATAACAGAAACAAAAAGATCCCTTACCTCCGAGGAAGATCAGCATCAGATGTTGCTTCACCCAAAACACGTTGGCTGTCCTTAAGTCGGGCCTGGAGTTCTTGTAACAAGTCAGTCTTGTTTTTCAACTTTGCAATACCACTATAGACTCTAGCCATTATTACTTGATCCCGCATCAAGCGTATATTTGAATCAGAATTGTCGTTCTCATTTTCTCTTCTCCAAATACTGTACTTTCCGAGGACTGCAGAATCAACGGACTTAGAGCGTTCGATGGCCGCATTTTCGAGTTTCAAAATCGTGTCATCATTGTGCTGGACCAACTCATTTGCTCTCATTTCACGCCTTTTCTCTCTTAATTGCTGAAAAGTTCAAGAAGGATAAAGATAAATTTAGTAACAATTACTCAGCCACGAGAATTCTCCAACATCTGGACGGCATAATAATTACCCTTCTGTAAAACTTTGCAGGTGTCTCAACTTTCTGATGGCTACCATCTGCATCAGCAATATATAGAAGAATCAGAGATGGAAAACATCGAAATAGATCATAGTACAACTTAAAGAAAAAAGGCACTACCTTTTGAAGTACTGTCCCGTTTTGCATGCATGATACTAGATTTGACATCTAGAGTTGTTTGATTCTGCTTCAAGAAGATGAAAACCATGAGCAATATAATCGAAGATAGGAACTTGGAAAATAAAACGAAACAAGCGAACCAGGTTACAAACTAAACCACACCTCAGAATTAGTTAACGAAGTGTCTACTCCGACTCCCCGCCATGATGCTGACAAATTGTTTTTCTTGAAAGAATCAAGGCTAAAAGGACCCAAATCAGCTGTACTAGTTGTGATAACATCTAGTACCTATAGAAATGAAAACATAGTAAGAAACAAGCCAATCTAACAAGGACGAACGAAGAAAGAGTAATCTAAATTAAAGTTTCCACTGATTTAGACTTACCTCTTTTGAGAAAAGAGATCTAACAGATTGCATTGCTAAGCGTTCTCTCCAATCAAGATTCTGCAACAACCAATCCAATTAAATATCATCCTAACTTTCTGTTAAAAACATACAAGCAGAGAATTCAAAATGAGTTTCCAGCCCACCTGCTTCGCAGTAGCATTCGAATAATCTGCAGTAATGAAGGCAACTTCATCAGATGAACAAAATGCAGATAGTGATACATATCGGAAAAATCAAAAACGCTCTAATAGTTGAGATTCAAAGTCGACAATGATTCCTCTAACTGTACAAATAATGGCCAATTTTATCAGTGTAGAAAAGCAATAATCATCAGTGTCACTCTTCAAGACAGATAATAATTCAACGGCAATGTAACTTGAATGCAGATAGTAAATGCGGAACAAAACAATTGTTCAATCATTCTATGTTCTCAATCCTACAAGTTCACAAGATAAGCAAATATTCAATACCATTTGAGGAATCGATGTACACTCCTCGACCAACAAAGAAGACGAGAGGTGCGAAAACACAGAAAAATATGAGGAGCACAAGAACAGATCGAGATCGACCACTACCACCACCTCCTCTAATCCGTTGAACTCCAGATAACCCTCGCTTCAACGCCATCTCTATCAAAATTCAAAAAAAAAAAAAAAACCCTAAATCAAGCAACGAATCGTCGAAGCAGACGAATAATGGAGGAGATGGAGAAAGAGACAAAATCATCATACTCGGGAATCTATAAGATATCAAATGAGATTTGAGCAGAATCCAACGTCACGAAGGGCTATTAAACTAAAACGCCATTACCAAATCAACCATTCATAGGCCGAGATCTGAACAACTCGAACAGAGAAAACTCAGAATTGAAAAGCTTGGAGAGTGTGGATAATCGTTGC